AGTTAGTGCCATACAGTGTTGGGGCTAGCGCGTTAATAGTAATGGCGTTACAGCGCTAACGCGTTTGTTATTCCGGTAAAGACGTAAAATGCTTGTTACAATTTCAAAACAGTAATGGGTAACGTACTTGTTAGAGCTTGGCTATTGATCGATTAATCTACCAGTTAAATGAGTAATCCGCTAATTGCGATAATTTTTTTTTTAAACTGATTAATCGCTAACATTTTTACAATCCAAAAGAACGTAAAAATGGCACTGGCCGTTTGCTACATATTCAGCAAAGGAAAAAATCATTAATTTTAACATAAAAAAAATAATATGAATCGACGCACAACCCCAGTACTTGCGTTACTTATTTCGAGTAACGTGTATCAATACTCGAAAGTGTTCCTCGTTAATTTTGTTTTCTGAAGTTCCATTTTTTTTTTTCGATTCTAAGCGACAAGGCAAATAACTATAAGTTTCACGAGTTTTTTTTTTTACTTTTCTTTTCTGTGGGCCGTTAGGTAGCACCGGAAAAAAATAAAATATAATAATGTCCAGTTTCACTATAGTCATAATATTTCATGAAATATGGCGGTTTTTATACATACCTGTAACCTCAAACGAATAAAACGTGTTAATTCGTAATTAAAAAGTAACGCAACAGCAACGTGCGTTACTTTTTATCGGTAACGGTAACGACGCGTTCTCTTTATTTTGAGGTAAGGCCAGTTGGTAACGAGTTCCTTTTATTCGCAAGTAACGAGTATGTATTTCCCTTCACTCTTTCGTTAACGCCTACCACACTGGTACCATATTACTTGTCTTAAATTTTTTAAAGTCTTAGAGTTTAAAGGCTTTTGTCTGGTTTACCACGATATTCATAAAACAAGCCCTGACCGAAAGTTACAACTTATCAACGGAACAGCCTGTAGTGAAGCATAATTCATCACATCTTTTGAGGTTTAGGCCCGAAGTTGCCAGGTGGAAACGAAACAACTGTGTAGTGAACCTAAAATACCCAGACTGGCCAAAGTTTATAAATCTAGTTAAACCTCGTTTTTGGGGGTTCTGCGGGCCCTGAATCGCCAGACAAAACCCAAAACTCTGGCCTGAAGAACTGTGCTACTTCAGGGATTGTCCGTATATATATTCGCTTCTTTCTAACGCATTGTTCATGAAAGTTGTAGCGGTTAACCAAGGTACAAACCATGCAGGTTGGGTAACTTGTGTTGTGCAAGTTCCCTTCCAGAAGTAACAAAATATGGTTGCCAGTTGCGGTAGCCGGTTACAAAAAAAAATATTTAAATACAAACAAATCATGACTTGAAGCGCATCCCGCAGCAGTCGGTTTCCTAGCTCACATAACGAGTTTCTCCCCGCCCTTCCCCCCCCCCCCCCTCCACACACACACACACACCTTTTCAATCTGTCTATAATAGTGACCATCTGAATTAAAATATAATTCGGGTAAATAAATTGCTGATATGTTTGTTGATTTTTATTGGTCTAAGGTGATAATATCCAAACCCATTTGACCATTTTTTTATAATCCAAGTAGCAATAAGAGTATTCAGAATTGTTCGAAGCACCGGGCGCGCTGCCTCTTGCGGCAGTAACAGTTTTAAAGGAAAAACTCTAAGCAATCTACACTTTGTACGTGCGTACATCAACGGCTTGTAAAGTTTTACCATTGGATTTCGGTTGATCTTCCCCCGTACGTGGACGCCTCCTTTGGAGTTTCTATAAGGACCAGTAAATCGTGGTGTGATTCCATGGCTGGGGCTTTCTGGTGGCCTCAGTGCCGCTCATACTCGATGATCGATTGACTGTGTATATATTTACAAAAGGAAAACAACTTTTTTTCAAGATAAAAAAAAAGTAACCGCCGCGCTTCTGCATACTATGTTCGCGGCAGCCTATGAGGATGATATTGAGCCTCAGCGCCAAGTGCCCAGCCGCGCGCGGTGTGGGAAATCTCCTGTGTCGCGCGTGACAAAAACTCGGCCCTCGTACTACGGGAAACAAACGTACTGATCCGGAGATCTTTTTGAACTCAACCTGTCTTTGATCGCTAGAGCCTCAAACCCATTGCACTGGCAATTAGCCTGTCCAATCAGGGGCAATAAACATTCCTATTGCGCCCATGGCAAGCGCCCTTTCCACGTACACGAGGGGAGCCGCCAAGGCTTCCCGACCACCCTTTCCTCCCCCGCTCCCCGAAGACGCCTCCAACCCTCAGCTGAAAACGAGTACTCAATTCGCTTTCTACGCGGCCGTGGCGGATATGACAGTATTGACATTATTTGTAATGAAACTAGTAGTTAAATTATTTTTAGTAATGAGTAATGCAACGAATTACTTTTCTAGCCTGGCAATTTAGTAATTTAATGAATAACTCTCACTTAATAATTTTGAAAAAAATTACTAGTTACTTTTTAAATTACATTTGTCTCAAATAAGAAAGTTCAATGGCTAGCTTAAAAAAAGATATAATAATATTGCAATGCGAATTGTCGTAAAAGATACATCAGAACAAATAAACGACGGGCATCTGTGTCCAAAGCCTCGTACGAAGAACTCATCACAGGCACAAAGGCGGGCTGGGAAGGCGAAGGAGAAACTCTTACGTGAAAAAGAAAACGCTGGAAGGCCACGCCTCACGAAATCTAGGCAATGTATTCACGGCGTCACATCATCACGACGATACCCTACTTCGTTCATCCCTAAGCTGACAGTGCGCTGGGAGCTACGTTCTCACCAGGATTAATCAACGACCTTCCTTTGCTCGCCTGACCCGTACCTTTTTCGGCGCGTGAGTATAAACGAGAGTGTGGTTCCGTGGTGAAAGATAGACGTGTGACTGTTCCTACGAGAACGCAGCTTTCACCGCACTGTCAGCTTTAGGGTGAACGGCTGATAGGCTACACGGCGAAGGGCACATCATCAGTGAGTTCGACACATTTTGAAACCTGAGAGCACACAACGAACAGATGCCCAGCATTCTGGCTCTTTCGTAAAGCAAGTGAACCCGTAATCTTCTACCCTTCTGAACAGCGAATGAGCTGAATAAATAGTTAATGCCAAATGCGTTGTCAAAATCAAATGACGTTTCGTGCGTACTATTGGCCTTGTTAAGTAAAGGTCGTTTTGGGGTTGGAAAAGACGGAAGTCGATCAAAGCAGGTGACGCTCATGGTATACCTAGTTAAGGGATCAGGCCTTGCCGCATTTTCTTGGGAAATTCATTATGGAATAAGCCTAGAAGCAGATATCGCCACCCGTTTTTTTGGGGAAGTACACAATTTAGGAACCTCCCTCCATCCCTATCTTCAACTGGCTTCGCTTTTGCCTAGCAGATATCCAGCCCCCCTTGTGTGACAACGCGCAATACCTTGGACTCTTCGGGGCTTTGGGAACAATATTCCTTGAAAAGAATGACCGGGATTACGTCAACAATTGTTCTTGAGAGAGTTATATTGTATTTCGTACGAGGCGGGAGGAAACAATTCACGTGACGCATCCTTGTAAGAGCGAGCTTCCATGGCCCGAGCTAACATACTGACGCTGACTATGACTTGTTTTACTTCAGAAAGACGGAAAGATATCACCCTTTAACGAAGAACATTCACCGTTGATTTAAAAGTGAAACCTGTGGGTCAACTGTCTTTCAGTCACATCTAAAGAAGCTATTCCACATGTTTAATACTTATGTCGTGTGCTTCACCAAAACGACTCTTCAAAGCAGTTCACTTCGAGGCGCATAAGGCTGTTGCAATGTAAACAGGAATATATGAGTTCTGGTACACATACTGTAAATGAAACGTGCGCTTATGACTGCCTCAAAGCATTTGAAAAGTAAATTATTTAATTACTTTTGAAAAGTAATATTGAAATGTCATTATTTTTAGTCTGCTGTAACTTGTAAAATTTTTAATATATTTTTGCACTTTTTAGGAAAGTAATCAGTACTGTGAATTAATATGCTTTTTCAAGTGTTTTGCCATCTACGGGCTGTGGTCAGCCGGTTGCCGTAAATCCATTAGGAAGGTGCCGGGAAGAAAATGGGTGAAAGGTCGAGGTCGCTCTTCACGAAAACCTCAACCCGGGTAGGCTGACGAACTGTCCCCCTTAAACGAGGGGTCAGTTTGCGGAATCCTCACATGACTTCGTTTGGTAATTAACATAGAATCATTTTACAGTTCGGGTGAGCGTGTGCAACGCGTTTAACTGCGTTCGCCACATTCTGCTTTGATGCTTGGAAAATATGCCTTTTAATGAGTTACCAAAGCACCAAGTATCATGCATACTACGAGTGTAGTTACACGCGCTGCTCGTGCTGGCGTCTGCAGTAGTAACCGTTCTACAGCAAAACCTTTGAGCCTTTCCACTCTGGTGAAGAAGGAACAGCAACGGAGCTGTACTATGTGCCGCCATCTAGAAGCGACGGCAGCAACCAGACAATTTGCAAGCCGGCTGTCTGGTTCCCACCGCTGCTTATAGGTGGCGGTGGCTGTCAAAAGGGTTGTGTAAGGTTTATATTTCCACGGACACGAAAGTGAGGAAACTAGCCCTTAACAGCTCCGTTGTAAAGCCTTAAAACTAATTTTGCCTCGCACGCGTATTGGACAACGCCTTATTTTGGTTATTTACTTGGAATCGTTTGTACTAGAACGGTGTGCGCGTGCTGCGTGTAGATATTCCCAGCACTCTCTTTGATGTTTCGGTAATTTAAAAACAGGTCTATTCTACAAAAGGTTTATTCCATGCGCATCGGAGTGTAAAATTTGCCGATAGGTGATTTTTCTGCGATTTAGACCACTTTTTTCCACTTCTTCGTAGATGTCTTTCATTTCCTTTTTTTATCATTCCTTTGTTTTTACTGTTAAATTTAACACCGAATGTATAGAAACATTACACTACTTAAGTTAAATACTTGAAAAATTAACCACACTTACAGTTCTTCTTGGTTTTCAAGTTTTCAACAGATTAATGAACTCCAAGTGAGATGTTCACTGATTCTATATGAAGTTTATTGGACTGTCGGGAATAACTTCTGCCATCTTGTTTAAAATCCAATCTCTGAATGTGGCAACCCTGGCATAAACGCCAGGGTACTGTGCCGTTCCACAGCCCACGCCAAATGAAACTATTCCGACGACTTCCAGGAAGTTTCGGCCATCCCGCGTTGAGTTGGTGACCAGCGGTCCGCCGGAGTCTTGCTGAAACGACATAAAGGATTTTTTTTAGTATTCCAATGAAACAATAAACTTCCACTCTGTACAAAGGTGTTTTTTGGCGGCGCATTTGTCATAATATTTCGTGACTCTACGTCTCGGGAAAAAAATATAATAAAAATTAATTGCTTACTACGGTCGTGAAAGAGCAATCAAACTGCCAGGTTGACGCTGCTGCTCGCATATCGCACTATATATATGGCACGAAAACTTGAAAGCTTTTTAGAGACTAACACCCGAAAGAAGATCCATACGGTGCATACGAGAGCGTGTCGTATCATGTGATTTGTAGAAGCGTTTAACCAGCCAGACACTTTGTATTCTTTTTGTCTCGTTGGAATTAACAATATGTTTAATTTCCTGGATATTTTTTTAGAGACCTACACTTACGAAATTCGGGTGCAGCATATACTCTGATGCTTCGATGCGAATTTGGAAAATCCGCGAAAATCGGTTTCTCAATGTGTCGCGCTGGACATTGCTACCCGAGTGGCGCGGGGCAGTGCACAGATAAAGTTAAATTATAGAAGAATGAGCTTAGGTTGTTTCAAAAATAAAGAAAAAAAAACAGTTTAGAGGTATCTGCCGCGGAATTCAAAGACAACGTCAATACCAGGCTAGCATAATCAAATGTCCCACCGAGAAATGTCGGAAGTGTCAAGCGCGCCGGCGCCCAGCATATGTCAGTCGATTTTAGGAAACTTTTCATTATAGGCTTGTTTCTCTCGATCAGGGGGCCGCAGTAACGTCCACAAGACGCAGCCAGAAAAATAGTCCCATATATTAGCGTCCACCAGACGCGATCCTATAATGCTGACGTGACGCGTCGTTTTAGCGTCCTGTCATGCACGATTCACGGGCGAAAAGTAGCGTCTGTCTGCGTTCCTCAGCGTTTGTTCACAGGCAGTAACAGAGCATTTTGAAAGGACGCAACGCGACGCAGAACGGAAACATGACCGAGAAATATCTGATAAAGCTGGGAAGCGGCGCTGCTCAAAACTTGACAGCTATATGCATATAAAGGCGCCGCTGTAGCGTTTAAACATGCACGGGAGGCTTTCGAGTACTGGCGTCTCTCAGCGTTTGTGCGCAAGAAAGAGCGAAACAAATCACAAATCATGTGCGCAAGAAAGAGCGAAACAAATCATGATGCTTCATTATGACGTTTAATCAAACCGCTAAGAATGCATTCCTTTCAGCTGTTTTGTTCTTTTTTTATTTTCTTTCATAGCATTCGTTAGCTTTTGAAACCCAAACAAAAATATTTGAATTTACTCAGAACGTGCGCCGCTCAAAACTTGATGCCTATACAGGCGAATGGCGACGGGCATTTCAGCCGGGGCGCTAAACGCTTACGGCACTTTTTGGTGGCAGATATAATAACCACAGGGTGCTTCAGGAAGAGGCCAGGCTCTTTGAATCGACCGTAAAATTCGGTTTCTTAACCTATCGCGCTACGACTTTGTGCAGCGTTGCCCACAGATGGTGCTTTTCTTTTTTTTGTAAAATTTACAGAGAGCAAAGTTACCTGATGAAAAAGTAAAGAAAGAAAAAGGCTTAGCTCCTATGGAAACGCAGCGTAGCCACCGGTCTTCAAACAACACAGCGCCGTTTCGCACGGGAGACAAGAGATGGCGTAAGCGGTCGCGACGCCAACTGCCGCCAACGAACGAGCACATGACGCCGAGAGGCGGCGTCTTTAGCAGAAGGGGAACTGCAGTTTCTTGTTACCGCGCCTGTTTTTGTTTCTGCGACTGTCGCCGCCTGCGGAACGCGCGCCGCTTTTGAGCCGAAAAAGTCGTCTGCTAAAGACGCCGGCTCTCGGCGCCGTATGCTCGTTCATTCGCGGCGTTCGTTGCGCCATCTCTTTTCTCCCGTGCGAAACGGCGCCGTATTGTTTGAAGACCGGTGGCGTCGCTGTGTTCCCATAGAAGCTAGGCCTTTTTCTTTCTTTACTTTTTCCTCAGGTAAGTTGAAAATTTTACAAAAAAAAAAAAGCACCATCTGTGGGCAACGCTGCACGAAGTCGTAACGCGATAGGTTAAGTAACCGAATTATGCGGTCGATTTAAAGAGCCTGGCCGCTACTTGAGACACCGATTATATTTTGCGCCACCCAATACGCCCCATTTCATCGTAGCGTCAACTGCAGTTGACGCTACGATGCCGGGCTGCGCAAGCGCGAGGACCTCACCCGACGAGCAGGCACTCTAAAAAGTGCCTGCTCGTCCACTTACTCACAAAAAACACAAAGGCCCAATTGGTGCGATCCACAGAATCAGTTCAGCTAATGATGAGGTGGAGCATCCGTTTAAACTTCAAAAATTAAGTCTCCGCTGTGGCATTACGCAATGCAAGCATGGCGCTTTGTATTTCGTAATGACACAGCGCTGACTTCATTTTTATGTATAAACGGATTTTCTGCCTCGTCATTCGCTGAACTAATTCCGTAGATTGCAGAGATTGGCTCTTCGAGTGTTTTGCGGGTAAGTAGTCGCGCGGGCATTTTTTAGAGTGTGGGGCCGAACTGAACGGCAAAAGGAGATATGATATTTCTTCACCATAGCAACTCGCATAAAAAAGCTTTCTTACCTGACAAGCATCAACACCCCCGTCAGTGACGTTTCCCGCGCAAATGAAGTCGCCGCTGATGCCTCGAGGGAACTCCCGCTCATAGCTCGCGAGCGAACGGTACGCGTCGTTGCAGACATCGTTTGCCACCAGGGGTACCCTGGCCTCCTGGAGATGGGTCTGGAGACGACCACCTGCACCAAGCGTCGCTTTTGTTAAAATAAACACGCACAAAACGCAAAGTTAACTGAAAAAAAAAAATCTAAGGGAACCAGGACAGGCTTTTGAAACATTCACGTAGTAGCGAATGCATCATATTTCGGATGTTTAATGAATACCGGAAAGCAAATCTGTTCTTATTTCGGTGTGCTCATTTTAAAACGCAAGGTATGATAAAATTCCCAGCTTGGCCTCCGGCCTAAGAAAAGTTTGCACGTGGGCTAGTTTTTATATCGCATACCTGGAACGATTAACAGAGCAAAGACTCACAATACAATAGAAGAAACGGACACGACATTGAAGTGTTCGCCCTGTTCGCGTCTGGTGGTCGATTGTTTTCGGGAAGGCTCTTGTATTCTTCTGTAGCACACCAACACGGCGAGCCTTGACATCTATTCACCTAACTCACCGAACTCACAAACCAACCACCAACGTGAGTCGTGACATCTTCCGCATCGTGTGTAATTTCGTTGTATGCTTTTCGAAGTCGCGGAAAAAACCGGCTATCAAATATTTCTGCGCTGCCTAGTGAAGGCAATGTTCATCGCAGACACGTGCGTTGGTAACGCAAGTTTGTCTATTCCTTAGAGCACCCTAAATCAACTAAAAAGAATTAGAGTATCGGACGTCTATTCCTTGATTACCTCGTGGGCGCCTCCATTTCGTTGCTTGAAGCAAAACAGAAGCAATATGACTGTTTCAAAGTGAGCGCAAACTCTTGGCTGCTGCGCAAACCACACAAGTCTGCCATTGTTCGGGCAGACTTGTGTGCCCGCAGCGTTCGGTGAGTGCACACCGAACGCTGCGAGAGCGTTCGGTGTGCACTCAGATCCAACCACACTCCTTGTGCCCAAAATAACTGCGACCACCAACGTTGCTATATAGATTTTTTTCAAACAAACTATGGCGATAGTTACAGTTGAAAAGTGCCACTTTCTGACTTTTAGTTACGGTTGCATAAAACTATGTCGTGGACTGCTTTAAAATATCTAGAGGACACCGAAAAAGCGTTTTTGTGGATTTATATGAATATGCAGATTACTGGCAGCAATATATTAAAAAATATATAACGGCTGATGTGCCATTACTTTCAAACGAAGTTAATTAGTGTCCTATAATACGCCGGGCACAAGAAATCAAGTATTCTGCAACTGATTTATATTTTAACGAACGCAAGTAGATCTTCAATAATACTTAAAAATCAAGTGAGCTGGTGATGATTCGTCGTAATAAAACCCGAGACTAAGGGACACAGAAGGGGACGAACACAACACAACGTTGCTATAAAAACCGACCGGTGTTGTGTTCGTCCCCTTCTGTGTTCCTGAGTCTCGGGTTTTATTACAAAAGATCTTCAAAGACATTTGGCTGTGACGTGTGCAGCATTCGTCACAGTTCTAAACCTTCAGCTTTCCAAAGTATACTAGACATAAATGCAGCACTGCATCTTTTTTTTTTTAACTTAAAGGCCCACGATTATACTTAAGATTCTGCAAGGCAGAAGATCCTTCTTGCCTCGGGGAAGGAGGAAAGAGGCAACGGTGGACAGGGTAGGAGTGTGAGAGCAGGAAACGGATGAAAAGTGGAAAGCGCGAACAGGTCGCCTGCAATCATATCTAAGCGTCTGCCTTTTTTTGCGGTTTCCATGTCCCTCGGGGTGCGGGAAAGCCAGCGGGCACGGAGAGAGTAACTGAATATAAGTGCGTCAAATTTTAACCGAACGACGCGGAAACCTCCCCCCAAAGAGATCATACCTACTAACTCTAGAGGAAAAGGTTTGCCCTCTTCCCATGCATTCTGGCCGCCGCAAGCGGCGGAGCATGGAGGCAGACCCTTGGCGTCCCACGCATGGTTACCAATTGCCTTCGTTTTCACGAATATAATTACATCATCAGAGCAGTTTCAAGGACTTCAGCAATTCACGTACTTATTGACATTTATTTATTTATTATTTAGATTGTACCTACATCGCCCTGTGGGCATTATTGCAGGGGGGTTTTAGAAAACATTATAATAAGGGGAAAAAGAAAACGTCATTATCATCAATGGACACAATATCTTCCGGGAGGTCGTTCCACTCTCTCGCGGATTTGACAAAAAATAAATTCGCAAAACTGTCAGTCCTGTAAGTGGGAACAGCAACCTTTTTGGAATGATCACAACGGAAAGAAACGTAGAATGGCTCCATATGATAAGTGGCTTTACCAATTCCTGTTTTGTTGTGAAAGACACGGTGGAAAAATTTTAGTCTTAGGTTTTTTTGTCTACATTCGAGTGTTTCCCATCCCAGCATGGCTTTCATATCTGTAACACTAGCATAAATGTCATAGTTGTTCAGTACAAAACGCGCGGCCTGATTTTGAATTTTTTCTTGTTTATTGATAAGGAAGTCGTGATAAGGGTCCACACAACGCACGCGTAATCAAGGATCGTTCTTACCAAGGAAAAATAAAGTGTTTCTTTAACGTTTCGCGACGCGGATCTAAAATTTCGACGGAAAAAATAAAACATTTTACTAGCCTTTCCGATTGTACGTTCTATATGGCTGCTCAATTTTAGGGAATCCGCAAATAGCACTCCTAAATAAACATACTCAAACACAGTACATAAAACGGTCCCGTTGATTTGGTAGCTATGAGAATCGTGCAGCTCACTTCTCAAGAAACGAATATGTTTGCATTTACTTAAATTTAGGCTCATTTTACATTGATTGCACCAAGAAGATAAAATATTTATGTCGGTTTGTAATATGGCCAGGTCGTCTGATGTGTTTATTTCCCTGTATAATACGCAGTCATCGGCGAACAGTTTAATATGAGACTGTATGTTTTCTGTGATGTCATTTATGTATATGAGAAAAAGTAAAGGCCCTAAGACATTCCCTTGTGGCACACCCGACGTAACCCGAGTTGATGTGGATATAGTACCGTTTAAAACAACCCGCTGCTCTCGACCTTCTAAATAATTTTGTATTCAGTTCAGGACGTTGATGTCTATGTTTAGCAAAGCCAATTTATACAATAATAACTGATGGGGGACCGTGTCAAATGCCTTTCGAAAGTCTAAGAACACGCAGTCGACATATTTCCTGCTGTTTAGTGATCTGCATATATTATGATAAAATTCTACCAGCTGGGTGTTGCAAGAGTAGCCGCTTCGAAAACCATGCTGTGAGGGAGAAAAGAAGTGTAATGAATCTAGGAACGAGTAAAGGTTACTGTAAATAATGTGTTCAAACAACTTACGTGAGATCGATGTCAATGAAATAGGGCGATAATTTTCAAGACTGGCTTTCGAACCCGATTTAAAAACTGGTGTAACGTTTGCCATCTTCCAATCCATTGGAACCATCCCCGTCTTTAAAGTTTCACTGAAAATAACAAAAAGATAACGCGCTATAGATACACTGCACTTACGAAAAATAACAGGGGAAATGCCATCAGGTCCGACAGCCTTGGTTGCATCAATTCCGCGCAGTAACTTCACTATACCGTTCATGTCAATTCTAATGCTGGGCATTACGCTTTGCTGTGTTTGGTAAGCCACTGGAAATACCAGATGCGGAGAGTCTTCCGAAAATACCGACTTAAAATACGAGTTAAAGCATTCAACCTTCGCGTTATCAGACACCAGAGTACTACCATCAACTTTCAACGCAGGAATAGAAGTGTCTTCCTTTCTGTTCGCGTTGACGAACTTCCAGAATTCTTTAGGGATTCTTTTTAGATTTTCGTTAAACTTGTCAAAGAACACCTTTTTGTTTAATTTTATTTGCAATTTGAGAAGCCTGTTAATCTCTTCGTACTTCTGCTCAGTTCGGACTGACCAACTTTTGGTAAGCGTTTTGTAAGCACGAAACCGGTGGAAAGATGTTCGCGTTCCTTTCGAAGCTTCCTTTTCGCATACTGCACAGGTGTACGGCCTCGCGTAACGCAAAACTAAACCAGATAAGCGACTTTGCGAGTGGGGTGCGAGTGGGTGCGGCCGAGGTATACGAAACCGCGTAACAACCAGATTTCCGAGATTTCGACAGAAGAAAATTTAATGCAGCGTAATGAGTTTATTGCTTTTTATAAGCGTTAGAATAGGTCACAATTTAGTTGATGACGTTAAATTATCACTGTTTATATTGCTGAAAGTTTTCAGTCTTCGTGATTACTCTTGCGACTATCGTCCTTCAGCTGGCAACATTGGTTTCTTTCTCTCGTGTTCTGTTGCTCTCTTTCACAATCTTTCACTCGGGACACCAGATGTCGGCGCACGGGATTTGCCACCCCTCCTCACCCACCCTTTACCCCCCTGCCACCTCCACCTACGGGGGCGACCCGTGGTGCCAGAAGCGCTCGATATGTGACGTATTTGGTCCTGTGCTTACTACTGGTTGGAGCCGTTAAAAGCTTGTTTTTAGTCGAAATACAAAATATAAGTGGAGCGAGCCGTTTCAATTATTTATAAAAGTAGTTTTTGTTCACTATTTTAGACCAGAAAAAAAACAAATGCAGTTTAAAAAGTACGGAAACAAGGAATGACTTGTCAAAATACCCGCCACCAAGCGGTGGAAAAGGCGGCGCATACTAGAAAGGTGTAGTGGGATCAGGCGCCCACGAGCGCGAGCGTAGAAAGGTCCTGGGTGCAGACATGTACAAGTTACTCAAAAAAAGTGATTAAGTTAAGTTACTGAGTATTGACCTTAAAGGCCCGTTCACACTCTTCCGACCGAGATCGACCGAGTACGACTGAGAGAGACCAGTTCTCTTAAACCTTGTTAAATGTTTTTAAAATGAGAGAACAAACTGGCATTGTGGCGCCATCTACGCGGTGACCCTGGAACTGCATTTCACAAGAGCGAAGGTTTTGCGGGATTTCCGAGGTCAAATGTGCGTAATACCCATAGAAAGGCTCGTTTATAACATTGACAAAAGTTTTTCGAGCCAAGAAAGAAAGGATAATGCGCGAGAAATAAAAAAAATATGCC